TATTTTCGTATTATTCTCTTAAAAATTATTACTTTGTAATGACAATAAGTTAATGTTGAACTGTTTGCTGCGTTTGCAGCTATTCCTAATCCTAATAGTTCTTCATCGTCACTTAACCCAATTTGAATTGGTTCGAAATTACAATTCCAATCCAACAAAATTTGTGATTCAACTGACAAAGTTTCTAAATTCCATATTGTGATCTCATACGTCATTTTTTTAAAAAATATTAATTTTCCTTTGGGAGTTATGTATACTTTGTCTGAGGTATCAAAATTTTTCAGTTCAATTGATGATTGGAAAATCCATTTGACACCATCATTTGTTTTTTCTGGAACAAGAATATATGCTTTGTGTTCTATAATGCTGACCATTACAAGGCTTCCACTATTAATAAAGTATAAGTGACTAATATTCTTGTGTAAATAAGGAAATTGCAAAAAAGAGATCTCAGTAGATTTGAGATTGTAAATTTCTTAAAATGATGTGATAATTCTGGTCAAACTTATAATTCAAATTAAAATCATAACGAAAATTTCTGTTTCAAATTTAACTTACCAAAGTTACAAGGATTTAATCTACGAAGCTTTATTGCAATATACCCATCATCTGAAACTGTAAAGGTCGTTAAAGTTTCTGATCCAACATCAATATTTTTGATTAAAATTATGTTTTCATATCGCAAACTTTGTTGGTTTGGATCAATAGACCACAAGGCCACGGATTTATCAAATTCACTCAATGTAGCAACATACTTCATCTTAGGTGAACAATCAATTTGCGTAATAGGATATCCATTATGAAGGCCAATATATACATCAAGTTCAAGTTCTTTAGGAACTTCTCTTTCATGGGAAATGTCTGGTTGTGCGCTCTTAGAAGATTCAATTTCCATTAACTTATTGTCATTACAAAGTAATAATTTTTAAGAGAATAATACGAAAATATTTTTAACTTGCCACGTATGGCATTGATTATTGATTATGTACAAACAATCGTTTAAGCCTTGTTTATTTCTCACTTTGACCTGACGGTCGGTTAAAATATTTAGCCATCTAAGCCTACTAAAAAAAGGACAAAAAAACAAAAGCCCATACTGTATTAAGATTTCTGATAAACAAAGAAACAGCTGCAATTATGGGTTTTCTGCCTTTCCATTAGAATGGGGATACAATAAAATTGTCAGGCATGCTCCATAACTATACTAGATGTTTTAAAGTCACTAAAAAAAGTAAAAAAAAGATCCTAGTTTAGTGACTTATAAAATCTTTTTCCAATAGTCTAAATCTTGTAACAATTTAAGAAATAATTTGTCTTTCAAACCCGTTTTTTAATGATAATAATTTAAGAACGAGTAATACGATTCAGCGAACAAGTTTGGTAGCTCAAATGTTAATGAAGAGATGGAATAATTAAAATAATTTATTTATCATGTACTGTATTTAGAACAAAAGTATAGCGTATACGAATTATGACATATAGCCATTATAGTTCGACGATATAATATAACTTTATATATTGCAAACAAATATGGCATATACGCATGAGACGAACCTAAATAAAAGGTTACAGGTTATAACTTAGTTACGATACTGCATATTACAATATTTTGAGTTTTTCTACGTATCACGGTTTCTCATCCGTCTTCTTAATTTTAAGTTCCTTTTCATTTAAACATTCAGGATCGTAATCGAAAATATGATACCAATTAAATAAAATTTGGCAAACGTTTTCAGCACTTGGTCGTTTTTTTTGGATCTTCATCCATACACTGCTTTGCCAATTCAACATAAGGAGCGGGTGTTCCCATACTAAACTCTGGGCGTAGACCTTCTCTTACTATCTTCATCGCCAAAATCGTGTTATATTGGCGACCATTAAAAGGTCTAATTCCTGTAGAGACTTCACTTAATATAATACCAAAACTATAAATGTCCGATGCTGTTGTATATCTATTGCCCAATAAAACTTCGGGAGCTACGTAGGGCATAACTCCGTAAACTTCATCCTTAGCATTTTCATGCTCAATTTTATTAGCCATCCCGAGACCAGAGACATATGCTGTTTCATTGACTGCATTTGTAATTACTAGTATATTTCCACTGTATAAATCTTTATGCATATATCCCATATTATGAATTTGACTTAGATTGTACGCAACTGAAAAAAGAAGTTTCAACTTGTCCGCCCAAGTAAGTTTCTTAAAATTTGCTTTTAAATATTTCCAAAGATTTCCTCCATCTGCATATTGACATACAATCATATATTCTTTTGTTTCTGGATGACGGGATATCCCATATGTTTCAATAAAGTTCTTTTGATTTCCAAATTCTACGAGAGTTTTAAACTAAATAATAATAATAATAAGATAAAATACAGAATTATGAATGAGTAATATATTTCAACATTACCTCTTTAAGAATTTCTTCATAAACTCCTGATTTAAGAGCAACCATGCATTTTTTGCGCGATAATATCAATTTATTGTTTTTTTTCAATTGTATTCGCTTTCCATCTAACCAAATTGCAGAATACACTTCATAAAAACCATCTTCGTCAATTTTTTGAATACTATCTAATCTATCAAAAGGAATCCATTCGATCACTTTATCATAATATTTTGCCTTTAGTTGCGATTCTTTGATAATTTCATCGAGTTCCTTGTTTCCACTTGTCCACACTTTATTTATTTTCTTGAAATCATTAGATTCATAATCATAAATCTGTTTTAAATATGTTTCCCTGGCGTATTAGAAAAAAAAAGTGCAT